GGTGAGTGAGTTATCCTGTTATCTTTAGTTCACCAAGAGGACTGTGTAAAGACTGGTGAGTGAGTTATCCTGTTATCTTTAGTTCACCAAGAGGACTGTGTGAAGACTGGTGAGTGAGTTATCCTGTTATCTTTAGTTCACCAAGAGGTGAGTGAGTTATCTTGTTATCTTTAGTTCACCAAGAGGACTGTGTGAAGACTGGTGAGTGAGTTATCTTGTTATCTTTAGTTCACCAAGAGGACTGTGTGAAGACTGGTGAGTGAGTTATCCTGTTATCTTTAGTTCACCAAGAGGACTGTGTAAAGACTGGTGAGTGAGTTATCCTGTTATCTTTAGTTCACCAAGAGGACTGTGTGAAGACTGGTGAGTGAGTTATCCTGTTATCTTTAGTTCACCAAGTGGAAAAAACAGGTAAAGCGAACTTTTACACAATTCTGTTATCCTTGTATAATCCTCTTATCATGATCACGAGTCTGTTATCCTTATAGAGCTCTGTTATCATGATCACGAGTCTGTTATCCTTATAGAGCTCTGTTATCATGATCACGAGTCTGTTATCCTTATAGAGATCTGTTATCCTTATAGAGATCTGTTATCTTGGTAGGTAACCTCTATTGATTTTATTATTAACTAGATAACACATGGACCTGATATCCTGGTAACTAATTTTCCTATTTAGTAGCCGAGTGATCTTGTTATCTCGGCAGCTGAGGGCTTTTGTTATCTTATGATAAAAGGTATTGATAACGTGCCTGTTATGTGAGTAGGAGCTGTTATCTTAATAGGGCATGGTATTTTAATTGGACCTGTTATCTTAGTAGGGAATGTTATCTTAGTAGGGCCTGTTATCTTAGTAGGGCCTGTTATCTTAGTAGGTGTTGTTATCTTAGTAGGGCCTGTTATCTTAGTAGGGTCTGTTATCATAGTAGCAACTGTTATCTTAGTAATTTCTCTTATCGTATTTGTGACCGTTATCTTTGTGAAGGAATAGAAGAGTTGTTATCGTTATAGAAGAAAGCTGCTATCCCTTTAGAGTAAGCTGTTATCGTTATAGAAGAAACTGTTATCTTAGTAGAGGAAACTGTTATCTTAGTAGAGGAAACTGTTATCTTAGTAGAGGAAACTTTTATCTTGGTAGAGGAAACTGTTATCTTGGTAGAGGAAACTGTTATCTTGGTAGAGGAAACTGTTATCTTGGTAGAGGAAACTGTTATCTTGGTAGAAACTGTTATCTTGGTAGAGGAAACTGTTATCTTGGTAGAGTCTTGGCACGAGTTATCTTAGCTGGTAAAAATCATATTTGACGGCCCACCATTATATTACATCCGGGTTATGACCTTGATAAATAAGCTGGATTGATGGTTCCTAGTTAGCCTCGTGACAGCTGGCCGGATATTGTGCTGGGCTGGATATTGTTGGTGATGGATGGCCGGATGTTGTACTAGCCCAGATATTGTTGATGGAGGGCCGGATATTGTACTAAGCCGGATATTGTTGATGATGGATGGCCGGATGTCGTACTAGGCCGGATACTGTTGGTGATGGATGGCCGGATGTTGTACTTGGCCAGATATTGTTGGTGTTGGATGGCCGGATAATTTGGGTGACGGATGGCCGGATACTGTACTAGGTTGGATATTGTTGGTGACGGATGGCCGGATATTGTGCTAGGCCAGATATTGTTGATGGACGGCCTGGTATATAACTAGGCCGGATAATGTTGGTGATGGGTGGCCGGATGTTGTACTAGGTTGGATATTGTTGGTGATGGATGGCCGGATACTGTACTAGGCCGGATAATGTTGGTGATGAATGGTCGGATATTGTGCTGAGCTGGATATTGTTGGTGACCGGCTAATGCGCTAGGCTAGATATTGTTGGGGATGGATGGCCGGATAATATTGGGGATGGATGGCCGGATAATGTTGGTGATGGATGGCCGGGTATATTACTAGGCCGAATAATACTGGTGATGGATGGCCGGATATTGTTAGTGATAGATGCCCGGATAATGTAGGTGATGGATAGCCGGATATTGTAGTAGGCCGGGCAATGATGGTGATGGATGGCCGGATATTGACTTTATACCACGGGTGACGGCCGACCGGATATGTTTATTACGTCATAAATAACACATACTGCCGGAGCCTATACTAACATAATTATTTTATGTTCTGGTTTGCGACGATTTGGCTGTTATGTTTATCTTTTATATATTTTTGTATACTCTCAAGAAGCAAACAAAACAAACAAACAAACATACAAACAAACATAAACAAACACACACAACCCATAGACGTAAACAGTGACCTCCCTCGGCACTAACAGGTCCTTACCATGACCTCAGATGACCCTGAAGACTTAACACAGTGACCTCTCCTTCTTCAACCACTACTATGGCCTCACAACAAACCCCTTCCCTCAACACCCAGGCACTAACAGGTCCTGACCCTTCTACAGGTGCGTCACTGCTGGCGGCGATGGACCAAACGGCGGACCCCTGCACCGACTTCTTCCAGTTCGCGTGTGGAATGTGGAATAAGAAACACGTTATACCTGAAGACCGCGCCTCTATCAACACCTTCGAAGTGATGGCTGACCAACTGCAGAAAATCCTTAGAGGTGGGTGGATGACCTGATGGCTTGGCTTCATCCTTCCTTCCTTCCTTCCTTCCTTCCTTCCTTCCTTCCTGCCTTCCTGCCTTCCTTCCTTCCTTCCTTCCTTCCCTTCCTTCCTTCCTTCCTTCCTTCCTTCCTTCCTTCCTTCCTTCCTTCCTGCCTTCCTGCCTTTCTTCTGTTATTCTTGTTGTTCTTATTTTTCTTGTTGTTGTTGTTGTACTTCTCCTTCTTCTTGTTATTCGTTGTTGTTGGTCTTCGCCCTTTTCTTTTTCCTCTTGTTCTTCTTCCTCTGTGTGGCCTCCGTCCTTCCCCTTTCTCCGCCGATTTTTTCTCAAGGGTGTTCTCTCATCCTCCTTCTTCTTTTCCTCCTCTTCCTCCTCCATCCTCTCCCGTAGCAATGTTTACTGTCTTCTTATTATTATCATCATCATCATCATCATCATCATCATCATCATCATCATCATCATCATCATTATTTATGTATACAAATGTATCTGATGCTGGTCAAATGATAACATTCTCAGACTAACACACTAACACACCGTCTAACACACTAACACACCGTCTAACACACCATCTAACACACCATCAAACACACCATCTAACACACCATCTAACACACCATCTAACACACCATCTAACACACCATCACACCATCTAACACACCATCAACACCATCACACCATCTAACACACCATCAATAAACACCATCTAACACACCATCACACCAACACCAACACACCATCTAACACATCTAACACACTAACACACCATCCGACACACTATCTAACACACTAACACACCGTCTAACACAGCAACACACCATTTAACACACCATCTAACACACCATCACACCAACACACCATCTAACACACCATCACACCAACACACCATCTAACACACTAACACACCATCCGACACACTATCTAACACACTAACACACCGTCTAACACACCATCACACCAACACCCAACACACCACCCGACACACCATCTAACAACTACTACTACTTTGCTGTCACTCGGAGTCGAGTATGTCGATCATCCAGCTATGATACAATGATATGAGTTATATGGGATGTCACCTTCATTGGTGAGTTTTGAGGTGATTAAAGAGGACGATACGTGACCGGCAGAGTCGTTCACATTCTTTGCACATGTGGAGGGCTGTATCTAGTGCGGGAGGGGCGGTGGCAGCGTCTATCCGGCGTTGGCGCTTCTGTGTCTCGGTTTGCAATCGGACTTACTCGAAATTATTGACACCTCGTGTGGTGCTCCTCCAAGCGTTACGATGTGGAGTAATCGACTCCCAGGTGAGGGGTCGATTTGGCATTTTTTTCAGGTTTGTCTTTAGACTATCCTTATATCTTTGCAATTGCCCTTTAGACTATCCTTATATCTTTGCAATTGCGTTACGTTTACTATTACTTAGGTGACTGTAAAGTAGCTCCTTTAGTAGTCTACTGTCGTCCATGCGGGTAACGTGGCCAGTCCAGCGTTCATGGATAATGGTAGCACCAATGCTCCTACAGTTGGTGTCAGCAAGAATACTAGCATTTGTTCTCTTGTCTTCCCAGCGAACCCGGAGGATGGGACGTAGCCTATGTTGGTGAAAGTTTTCAAGTGCCTTGAGGTGCCTCATGCAAGTGACCCATGTCTCACTGCCATATAGCAAAGTGGGGAGGACCACTGCTCGATATACGTGCAGCTTTGTAGATAATTTCAGCTCCTTACAGTTGAAGACACGGTTTCAGAGTCTGCCAAAGGCTTGAGATGCACATCTGATCCGATGCTGAATCTCTTCATCGATGTCTGCGGTGGTGGACAGGTGGGAGCCGAGATACCGAAAGTGGGTAACATTAGAGAGGGTAGTACCGTTAAGGTGGTTGGATGGCTGGAGGTGTGTCTGAACCAGAGGCAGGTTGAAAGAGAATCCGAGTCTTAAATACAATCACCTCAAGGACGAAGTGTGCATACGCATTTGCATAGGTGTTCAGGATCTCCTGTAGGTCGTGTTCAATGTAAGCAACAAGGGTGAGGACGTCTGCATACCGAAGTTCAGTAATGGAAGCTGCCGACAGCTTTGTTCTTTCACCGAATCGTCTTAAGTTGAAAATACCCTCCTTCACCGGGTGCTCGATGTCCACCCCGCCTGCTAAATTGGCACTGGCACGAGTAAGGAAGGCAGCAAAGAAAATGGAAAAGAGAGTTGGTGCCAGTACACATCCTTGTTTTACCCCCGTTTGGATGGGGAAGAACTCAGACTGTGTGCCGTTGTGTAGGACGCTGCCGTTCATGCCATCGTGGAGTTGCCTCACAATGGCAATGAATTTTGGTGGGCAGCCAAAACGGCTGAGAGTCCACCAGAGGGCTTCAGTGTTGACCGAGTTGAAGGACTTGGTTAGGTCGATGAAAGCCATGTACAGGTCCTGGCTCTGTTCTCTGCACTTTTCCTGTATCTGGCGGGCAGCAAAGATCATGTCAGTGGTGACACGTGATGGTCTAAAGCCACATTGAGATTCTGGGAGGAAGTTTTCCGCCTCAGGTAGAAGTCTGTTTAGGAGGACTCGGGCGATAATCTTGCCAGCTATGGAGAGCAGCGAGATCCAGTGGTAGTTACCACATTCTGACCGGTCTCCCTTGTTCTTATAAATATTGACGATGGAGGCGTCTTTAAGAGCGTGGGGGATTTCCTCCTTTTTCCATATATTCTCCAGGAGAGAGTGGAGACGGCTGGTAAGCAAAGGTACTCCTGTTTTTTACACCTCGGCTGGGATTCCATCAGACCCTGAGGCTTTGTTATTTTTCATCTGTTTGATGACAGTAGCTACCTCCTCCAGGGATGAAGGATAGCTGAGGTTGGTCAGCTCTGGATGCTGAGGGCCTGCTGGGTAGTCAGGACATCCTCGTCGGTAATTCGGTTGAGCAGTGAATGGTAGTGCTCTTTCCAGCGCTGAAGGAGGACTTCATTGTCTTTAATTATGAAGTTACCAACGGATGAGTGGAGGGGGGCTGCGTCACGAGTGATTGGCCCATAAAATGTTTTAGTGGAATTGGCAAATTCGCGCCTCTTGTGCTGATATGCAAATTTTTGCGTTTCACATGCTTTATTTTTAAACCTGTCGTTTTTTAGAATGCGAAGTTCCCGCTAGGCCGCCGCTTTCGTCTTGCGGAAGGTATCAGCTTTGGTCCGAGACTGAGGGTTGTTCTGCCAGTTAGTGAAAGCAACATGTTTATCATCGACGAGTACATTGATTGCCGGGTCATTTTCATCAAACCAGTCCTGGTGTATTCTTTCGATCTGGCCGAGGGTCTCTGCAGGTTTTTGTCATGACAGTGTTGAGAATATCCCATTCAGCACTTGGATTTGCGTTGTTTGCTGTTGGGTTGTTTATCAGCCCACGTTCGAGCTGCTCTCTGAAGGCATGTGCTACCGCTGGATACTCCAGACGCTTAGTGTTAAAACCTCTTCTGGAGGCTTGCTGCCTTAGTCGTATTGGGGCGCCGGGAAGTGAGAGCTTGGCTCTGACAAGCTGATGATCAGTGTCACAGTGGTCTGAGCCACGTATGGCACGGGTGATGAGGACATCTCGGCGATCTCTTTCTCTGACAATGATGTAGTCAATGAAATGCCAGTGTTTAGATCGTGGGTGTTGCCACGAACCTTTGAACTTGTCGGCCTGCCAAAATAAGGTATTGATGATAGTGAAGTTGTGTGCAGCACACTTGCTGAGGGGGTGTAGGCCGTTGGGAATACATTTGCCTAGTCTATTTCTCCCTATGGTTCCCTGCCAAATGTTAGCATCTCTGCCAACTCTGGCATTGAAGTCACCAAGGAGCACAACCTTGTCTTCTCTGGGGATAGAGGCTAGCACTCTGTCGAGGTCGGCATAAAAGGCCTCCTTAATATCATCCTTTGCATCTAGTGTTGGGGCGTATGCACTGACGAAAAAGACATGACGTGAGTGATTCAGTGGGACTGGAAGTGTCATGAGGCGCTCGTTGATCCCAATAGGCATTTCAGTTAGCCTGTGTAGGATGCGTTGGCGGATAGCAAAGCCAACTCCATAAATGCGGTTTCTCTCTGCAGCAAGCTTACCCTTCCAGAAGAAGGTATAGGCAGGCCCCTGTTCTGTGATTTGACCCTCATCTGGGAGCCGGGACTCACTAATGGCTGCTAAGTCGATGTTATACCTAGCCAGCTCTTTCGCCACAAGGGCAGTTCTTCTTTCAGAATGCTCAATTGTGCCAGTATCCAGAACGGGTCCTGATATTCCATCCAGCGACCATAAGAGGTTGTATAGTTTGTTTTTAATTGGAACTGTGATTATGGTTGTGTTTTCGACCGCATAAGGATGACCCTACTGGGTGCGGTTGCCCAGTCAGATTTGCATTTTAGGCAGACTATGTTTAGGGCACCTTTTCTAGCCCCCTCCCCATGTGGGGTGACCAGAGTGGCTCCTCGAAAGGTCTGCTCAGTCGCACAGACAGGACCGGATTGCACTGCTGCCTAGATCACCATCTAACACACCACCTAATACTTCAACACACCATCTAACACACTAACACACTATCACACCATCTAACACACACTAAATTCTGTCTTCCCCCACAGGCTTGTTAGAGGAACCTGTCTCACCTGACGAAGGAGAAGCGACCAAGAAGGCCAAATTGTTCTACTCTGCCTGTATGAATACCAGTAAGTCGGGTGGAGGGTGTGGGTGGAGGTTGATGGGTGTAAGTGGAGGGTGTTGGCAATGGGTGGGGGTGGAGGGTTTGGGCGGGGGTTGATGGGTGTGGGCGTTGGGCGGAGTGTGTGGACTGTGGAAGTTGTGATCCGTGGATGGAGGGTGGAAGTTGTGGGCAGTGGATGGAGGGTATGGACGGTGGGTGGAGGGTGTGGTTGGTGGGTGTGGGCGGTGGGTGGAGGATGTGGGTGAAGGGTGTGGGAGGTGGGTGGAGGGATAGTGGAGGTGAAATGTGGATGGGATGGAGTTGGCGCAGAGTTAGGTGGAGTTGAATGATGGTGGGTGGAGAGATGGGTGGAGTTGGATGGTGGTAGGTGGAGGGAGGAGGAACGAGAGAGTGAGGGTGGAGTAGGAAGAAAGAGATAGGAAATACAGGGAATAAAGAAAGTAAAGTAAAGGAGAGAAAGAGAGTACACTCCCTCCCTCTCTTCCCACTCCCCCTCTCTCCCCTTCTCCCCCTGAACTAGTATGTGACCTTGAGGGTAATGATGTCCAGGGCCGGTGTTGAGGCCCGATGACCCCTGGGGAGGTGCTAGCCTTAAGACGAATTAGAGAGAGAGAGAGAGAGAGAGAGATGGTAGTAAATAGCAGTGAAGGCGGCCAGAACTAGGCTATCTCTCAGTTGGGAGTACATTATTAAAATACGCTGAGGTAAAGACTTATTTAGGGTGAAGTAGAAATGTGTTGGGCGTAGTAAGGTGAAGCAGCCATGAAGTATAATGTCCCACGTCTTAAAGTGCAATAGAACGTTAAGTAAGTAATAGAAGATAGTTAAGAAATAATCTCCTGTGTATAATAGAGTCTTAAGTAAGCTGCAGTAAAGTGTTTTCAGTACTTTGTCTTCTAGTTTAAAGTGCAATAGTATTTTAAGTAAGTTGTAGTAAAGTGTTTTGAGTAGGGGTTCTTATAAGCTAAAAGTGCAATACAGTTTTAAGTGAGTTGTGTTAAATTAACTTCATGCACCCGACAGGTGAGATCGAGACTACGGGAGATGCACCTGTAATCGCGGTACTGAACTCTCTTGGTGGGTGGCCTGTGACATCTCCTAACTGGACGCTGCCAGATTTTTCGGTGGAGACCCTCATAGGCAGGATGCGGGGGCAGCTCAACCAAGGAGTGCTCATCGACCAGTGGGTGGGGCCTGATGACAAGAACTCCTCCGTCAACGTCATACAGGTGAGAGACCCTACCCCCCCCCCCTACCCCCGAACACCTGGGTGACACCTGTCTAATTAGTGGTATTGTAGTCGTTTCAGGCTGTATTATGGTTTGTTATAGTTCAGAATTATTTAATGGTTGTTGTTACTTTATGTTACATGGTTGGTTATTAGGTCACAGATTAAAGGTTATATTATATCACAAGTGTTATTTAAGGTTACATTATATCAGTGTTGTTAAAGGTTGTTATATTATGTCACAGCGTTATAAAAGGTTCAGCTCATCATAGTTTACATCCTGGCTAGCACAGTAGTTAAAGCAACCTCACTACTGTAGATGGCGTTGATATACAATTGTTGACTCACTTGGAAATACAATCTTGGTGTTATTTCTGAGTAGATTCCCTAGAAATAACTGTATTTAATCAATCACAAATAAATGGCGTAGAATTAGACATGCATTTGTTTACTAATTTGAATGTAGTTGTATCACTTCCCAATAGATGGCGAAGCGATAATTTGTATTTATTTATTCATGTTTGGGTGATAAAGAGTTCTCACAAAATGGCCTCACGGTTTATTTAGTTGAATTTAAATGTACCAGAAAGACCGGAAGTGACGTCCTCGGGCCTGAAGTGACGTCCTCGGGCCTGAAGTGACGTCTCGGCCTGGAAGTGAGTAGAGACAGAGAATGAAACTTAAACCCAAAATTTCTAGGCGGGTAAAATAATTAAATATACTCGAAGTGGTGTCAGAATTCCGACATCACCTAGCAAAAAGTGACGTCATTGAATCGCCAGTGACATCACCTACCAGAAAGTGACGTCTTTGAATCTCCAGTGACATCACCTGCCAGGAAGTAGCGCCACAGATCCGGAAGTAGTGTTGGTCTTTCAAATTAAATAGCTAGATATCAAGGCCGTTCATTTTGTGACATATTCAAGTGAGTTTTGCAGTGTTGGTATAGAGATGTGCGTATGATTTCAACAAGTGTTATCTAGTGTCAACAAGTGTTATCTAGTGTCAACAAGTGTTATCTAGTGTCAACAAGAGTTAACTAGTGTCAACAAGAGTTAACTAGTGTCAACAAGAGTTAACTAGTGTCAACAAGAGTTAACTAGTGTCAACAAGTGTTATCTAGTGTCAACAAGAGTTAACTAGTGTCAACAAGAGTTAACTAGTGTCAACAAGTGTTATATAGTGTCAACAAGTGTTAACTAGTGTCAACAAGAGTTAACTAGTGTCAACAAGAGTTAACTAGTGTCAACAAGAGTTAACTAGTGTCAACAAGTGTTATCTAGTGTCAACAAGTGTTATATAGTGTCAACAAGTGTTATCTAGTGTCAACAAGTGTTATATAGTGTCAACAAGTGTTAACTAGTGTCAACAAGAGTTAACTAGTGTCAACAAGAGTTAACTAGTGTCAACAAGAGTTAACTAGTGTCAACAAGTGTTATCTAGTGTCAACAAGTGTTATCTAGTGTCAACAAGTGTTATCTAGTGTCAACAAGTGTTATATAGTGTCAACAAGTGTTAACTAGTGTCAACAAGAGTTAACTAGTGTCAACAAGAGTTATCTAGTGTCAGGCGTTATCTAGTCAACAAGTGTTAACTAGTGTCAACAAGAGTTAACTAGTGTCAAGTGTTATCTAGTGTCAACAAGAGTTAACTAGTGTCACAAGAGCTAACTAGTGTCAAGTGTTATCTAGTGTCAACAAGAGCAATCTAGTGTCAACAAGTGTTAATATCTAGTGTCAAGAGTTAACTAGTGTCAACAAGTGTTATCTAGTGTCAAGTGTTATCTAGTGTCAAATAGTGTTAACTAGTGTCAACAAGAGTTAACTAGTGTCAACAAGTGTTATCTAGTGTCAAGTGTTATCTAGTGTCAACAAGTGTTAACTAGTGTCAACAAGTGTTAACTAGTGTCAGCAAGAGTTAACTAGTGTCAACAAGTGTTATCTAGTGTCAAGTGTTATCTAGTGTCAACAAGTGTTAACTAGTGTCAACAAGTGTTAACTAGTGTCAACAAGTGTTAACTAGTGTCAGCAAGAGTTAACTAGTGTCAACAAGTGTTAACTAGTGTCAACAAGAGTTAACTAGTGTCAACAAGAGTTAACTAGTGTCAACAAGAGTTAACTAGTGTCAACAAGAGTTAACTAGTGTCAACAAGTGTTATCTAGTGTCAGCAAGAGTTAACTAGTGTCAACAAGTGTTATCTAGTGTCAACAAGTGTTATCTAGTGTCAGCAAGAGTTAACTAGTGTCAACAAGTGTTATCTAGTGTCAACAAGTGTTATCTAGGTGCTGTCGAGTTAACTAGGCACAACAAGTGTTGTATAGTATATTATTTGGTTTACCCAGTCAATAAGTTATATAGTGGTCAACAAGTGTTAACTAGTGTCAAAAGTAAGAGCAATCTGAAACAAACAAGTTTCATCTAGTGTCAACAAGAGTTAACTAGTAAAGAGGCTATCTAGTATCAACAAGTGTTATATAGTGTCAAGTGTTAAATTAGTGTCAGTAAGAGTTACCTAGTGTCAACAAGTTTATCTAGTGTCAACAAGAGCTAATTCAGTGTCAACAAGAGTTATCTAGGCGTCAATAAGAGTTAACTAGTGTCAACAAGAGTTAACTAGTGCTTGCATCAAGAGTTATCTAGTGTCAACAAGTTTTATCTAGTCAACAGAGTTAAATAGTGTCAACAAGATAATGTCCAGTGTCAGTAAGAGTTATCTAGTGCTGTCAAGTTTTATCTAGTGTCAACAAGAGCAATAGTGTCAACAAGAGTTAACTAGTGTCAACAAGAGTTATTCTAGTGTCAACAAGTTTTATCTATAAGTGTCAACAAGAGTTAAATAGGTCAACAAGAGTTAACTAGTGTCAACAAGAGCTATCTAGTGTCAACAAGTTTCATCTAGTGTCAACAAGTAAGTTAACTAGTGTCAACAAGAGTTAACTAGTGTCAGCAAGAGTTAACTAGTGTCAACAAGTGTTATCTAGTGTCAAGTGTTATCTAGTGTCAACAAGTGTTAACTAGTGTCAACAAGTGTTAACTAGTGTCAACAAGTGTTAACTAGTGTCAGCAAGAGTTAACTAGTGTCAACAAGTGTTAACTAGTGTCAACAAGAGTTAACTAGTGTCAACAAGAGTTAACTAGTGTCAACAAGAGTTAACTAGTGTCAACAAGAGTTAACTAGTGTCAACAAGTGTTATCTAGTGTCAGCAAGAGTTAACTAGTGTCAACAAGTGTTATCTAGTGTCAACAAGTGTTATCTAGTGTCAGCAAGAGTTAACTAGTGTCAACAAGTGTTATCTAGTGTCAACAAGAGTTAACTAGTGTCAACAAGTGTTATCTAGTGTCAAGTGTTATCTAGTGTCAAATAGTGTTAACTAGTGTCAACAAGAGTTAACTAGTGTCAACAAGTGTTATCTAGTGTCAAGTGTTATCTAGTGTCAACAAGTGTTAACTAGTGTCAACAAGTGTTAACTAGTGTCAGCAAGAGTTAACTAGTGTCAACAAGTGTTATCTAGTGTCAAGTGTTATCTAGTGTCAACAAGTGTTAACTAGTGTCAACAAGTGTTAACTAGTGTCAACAAGTGTTAACTAGTGTCAGCAAGAGTTAACTAGTGTCAACAAGTGTTAACTAGTGTCAACAAGAGTTAACTAGTGTCAACAAGAGTTAACTAGTGTCAACAAGAGTTAACTAGTGTCAACAAGAGTTAACTAGTGTCAACAAGTGTTATCTAGTGTCAGCAAGAGTTAACTAGTGTCAACAAGTGTTATCTAGTGTCAACAAGTGTTATCTAGTGTCAGCAAGAGTTAACTAGTGTCAACAAGTGTTATCTAGTGTCAACAAGTGTTAACTAGTGTCAACAAGTGTTAACTAGTGTCAGCAAGAGTTAACTAGTGTCAACAAGAGTTAACTAGTGTCAACAAGAGTTAACTAGTGTCAACAAGAGTTAACTAGTGTCAACAAG